TACTAGAGACAGTAGTTTGTCCCTTGCACAAGCCAATACTTTTGCTCTGGACCCCTCTCTAGAGGTGCAGACAGGCATGCCCTAAAAGGCTCTTGGGTCATTGCTCCAAGGTTCATGTTGGTACCTAGGCAGAGCTGCCTTGGAAAATATTTCTGAGCCTGTGCTGCCATCTAATTTAATATGGGCAGCAGCTATGTCTGTACCGTGTTTCGTAGTTGTTATTATGGAGGCCTCAGAGGCCAGGAGGAGGTCCGCGTGGCCGCCTGTGGAGAAGCAGAAGCAGGAGCCAGGCTAGCCTGTTTCAAAGTCTGCAGTCTTTTAACCAGACTCGACTGGTTCATGACTCCGGGTCCACTTCCGCACACCACCCACCCACCTCCTCCTCCCTGTCTTCCCTTCCCCAAGATTAGATCAGGGAACATTGATAGCCTTTTAGAAAAGGAGGAAGGACTGAAGTCATCTGTTCAGTCCGACAGGGATTTCCCTTCCAGCTCTGATCATCACCTTTCACCCTTTGAGTTGGGTGTCTGAGGAGAGGAGGCCCACGTGGACGCGGCCAGCTGGGGATGGAAGGGGTCGCTGCCAATCAGAATGCCCGAATGACCCAGGCTGCCGTACACCCGGCACCTACTCTGACCTCGTTCTCTACGTGTCTCTGAGAGCTTTGCTTTAGGTGGGAAAAGGAAGGGTTGCTACCACCTCTGACATTTCTTCTATATTCCACACTCTTAACTTATAGTTTCTGGTTTAATAAAAGAAACGTCAGGCTGGAGGGGCTTTAGCAGCTTGCCCAAGTTCTCATAGCTCTTTGAGGGGAGAAAACTCGAAAAATGATCTGATCCGACAGGCAGATCAACACAGCAAGTGAGGGAGAAGTAGGCTTGTGCAGATCACCGTGAGTCTGAGGCTGCAGGGTCTTGCTGAGGTTATTTTGTTTTCACTTTTTTTTTAACCGCCTGTGTAAATTATGAATAATAAGAACCCTGTCTCACAGGATTAAAAGCCATAATCTGTGTAAAAGCCCAAGCACCCAGTTAGCACTCAGTCACAGGTTAACGGTCATGACTGTTTCGTTACATCACTTTCCAGGGAAGCTAAAGCACCGCACGGCCTCCTCTCAGAACCTCAGACTCCCCGCTCTCCCTCCATGGCCTCTGTCTCTTCACGAGGGTTCTAAGTCACTTCTCAAGCCCTGCATCATGAAAGCTAAAACTGTTCCCTCTTGCCCTCCAAACTTGCTCTTCCCGTCTTCTCTGAGGTTTTACATTTTGACAGCACCACTATCGACTTAATTGGCCACCATAACAATAAAAGCCTAACTTTATAGATAAAGAAGCTTATATTAGAGATTTAAGTGGTTTTTCTAATCACCACGCAGAAAATTAGGACCCCAGCTGAGATGCCAGTTCAGGACTAACAAGTTGAAGATGCTTTTTATCTTCCTCACGCTCCTTCCTCGTGTTTTTTCTTCGTTTGTCTGTTCACACATTCACTTGTTTACTCCTCGGGCCTCGTATTGCTTCTGTCTCTGGCTGGCCTGGGGCTTTAGGACAGGGTGGCCCAGAGCACAGAAGCTGCTGGTACTTCAGTTTGGCTCTCAGGGAGACGCTGCACGTTTCCCCTTTTCCATCTTTGCTGTCAGTGTGGTTCTTCTCAGGTGGTATCAAGTGCAGGAAGTTGCTTCCTGTTTCTGGTTTACTTCTGGAGTTTGTTTTGTTTTACTGTAACTGTCTGCTAGAGTTTATAAAATACAAAATGAATTTCCCTCATTTATTTATGTAATTGTACTTATCCTCCTTTTCTCTGTTAATAGACTGAGGGTGATGACATATTTTTAAAATACCCAATCTTGTATTATTCACATACTCCTGAGCCGGTCAAGCCGTTCTGTTGATATGCACCGAAATTGGCATAGATAAAAATATCTGGACTTGCTTTGCTGATATTTTGTTTACCATTGTTGTATTTTTATCTATCAATTAAATAGGTTGGCAATCTTCTTTCTTAATGAATTTTCCTTGTCTAATTTTGTTAGTAAAATTATACTAACTTCATAAATAAATAGAGAAGTCTCTTTTTTGTCTATTATCTAAAATAGTTATTCAACTTTTTGAAAAATTGGTAGAATTCACTAATCGGGTTCTGGAGTTTCCTTTGTGAGAAGAACTTTAACTGATGTTTCCATCTGTAAGTGTTATGGGATTAAATATGTTCTCTATTTCTATTGAGGTCAATTTACTTTTTTCTAGGAATTTGTGCATTCTACCAGAGCTTTAAATTTTATTATCATAAATCTGTCAGAAGTGTTTTGTTTCTTAGAGATTAAAAAAAATCTATTATATATGATGTCATTTTTCCTTTCATCTATGGTATTGATTTTCTCTTCCTATTTTTTTCTATGAAATGTGACAAAGGTTGTCCGTATTTTAATCTTTCCTATGTGACCTTCAGGTTTTTTCTTATGAGAGATGTGGAATAGTTTGATAATTCAGCGACTAATGTAATCAGTACAGGATGTGGTTATTTATTTAATCCTCTTGATTATCCATAGATTTCCCCCCGCATCTGCGGTAACTCATGGCAAATTAGCCATAATTATTGGCTCAGTGTCCCCAATCTACCTGAATTAGTTGTATTATTACAGCTGCAGTCATGGTGGAAGGGACTTTCACCTTTAGATTTAGAAGGTGTAGGATCAAGTTCCAGGTCTGGTACTTACTTGACGTAACATATTTCCACTTTTTTTTTTGTACCAGGGATCGAATTCGGGTCCTTGTACTTTTGAGGCAGGCAGCAGAACCACTGGGCTAAATCCCTGGCCCTACTTCCACTTTCTGAACCTCAGTTTGCCCATCTTTTTGGTCACCACTTTTTGTCTGGGTTGTTTTGATGCTCACCATCACCCTAATGGCTTTCTTAACCCCTTAGCAAAAAAACTGACTCTCTTCAGCACTCAGAGCCAAGGATAGCTCCAGGAGGTTGAGAGCGAAGTCTTGTGAGATCTGTTCTCCTGGCTCGTTCCATCACATCGAGGGCGGCTTCTTAGGTCTCTCAGATATCATCCTGGTCTAATTCTTGGAAATGGGCGTCCCACTCCCAGAAGGGTGTTAGGCGAGACCAGGTCGAGCCTAGCCCTTAGGGGAAACCCGGGGCCAGTATTCAGAGGGCTGAGGTCGCCTGTGTGTTTGGGGAGAAGTTTTTAGACTCGCGCTTTCTGGTTTATGGAAAATCTCAAGCACAGAGATGCATAGTCATGTTCTGAAAGGCCTTTTAGGCACATTTCAGACCGGGCCGGTGAAAGCACAAGGTGAAATTCTGTGCGTGGAAGTGCCGCACAGCTCTCTCGTGCAGTAGTTGAGCTTGATGCCCCTCCCCCCCTCCCCCATCCACCTGCTGATGGCTCCATGATGGCCTGGGGATGGGCAACACATCCAGGCTGGGCTGAGACCGCACTCGCCACCCTTACTGCAGGTCCTCACTGGGATATTTTGTTTGCTTAATGGGATTTCTTCTAGAAAAGATTTATGACCCTGGGTTCCTGCCACTGAATTAACTGCCAACTTGCTGAGCCCCGAATTTGACTTGGAGGCTGCTGTTATCAATCCGCGCCTGGAACGATGGCGCCTGAGATGTCAGAAAGGAGGAAATGAGCGGTGCTTCCGCCTCTGGGCCTGACTCATTCACATGAGATCTGTGTAGGAAAGAACACCAGCAGTGTTTGGACTGAAGTACGCAGACAGCCTGCTGCCCGTTCCTCGCTGCCTTTCTTCAGATGTCAGGGTAGAGCTGCTGAAGCAGGTCCTACGTTTTCCCGAGGAAGAGGAACCGCCATTATTCATGAAGGTGAAGGGGCTGCTGGGAAACGGCTGAAGGCTCAGTCTGGGAATGTCATCGGTCCAGTCCTCCTGACTCGACTTACGCCCAGGAATCCATTTGAGGCATTTCTTGTACACATGGAATTATATTCTGAGGCACTTCTCAGATTTGAGGTATGTGAGCCTTTTCTCCCCGGCAAGCTGATAGAACCCGTGGAAGGGGGAACGTCTGTGTCCGGCTACCAGGCTAGTCTGGCACTCAGTGAAAGAATGAATGAAATTAGATTTTCAAACATTGATTTCTTTTTGTTTCCTAGAGTTAGAAAAGACATTGGTACAGCAGGCATGGTGGTACACACACACCGGTAATCCCAGCACTTCGAAGGCTCAGGCAGAAGGAAAGATTGCCCCGAATTCAAGGCCAACCTGGGCTACACTGTGAGTTCAAGGCCAGCCTGCACTACATAGTGAGACCGTGTCTCAAAAAATACCAAGAAAGAAACACAAAAAAGCAAAAAGAAGAGAGATTGATAGCGCCCTTGCAGTGCATTTCGTCCCTGAAATCTCATAACAGCAATACCAGTACCATGGGATTAATACCTAAATTTCAGTGCCATGTGTCTTCTACACATGGTTTCCAGGAAGTTGTGTACATTTTGAAAACATTTCATCCCTATAATGGTCCCAGGGCCCAGGCACTATTGTAGAGTGAGCATCTGAGATAGACAGATGCCTTGTTCAGAGAAGCCTGGCTTGTAAGTGCTGAGATCCTTTGAGTCTGGGGCTTGTTTATCAAACCCCTACTTCATATCAGCGCGCTAAGGAAGACATTGTTTTCCTCATCTAAATTCAGATAGCTTGCCAGACTGCCCTGTTGACATACAGCTAATACCTAGCGAATATGCATCGATAATGAAGCGATCCCAGCTGCCCCTGCGTGGTGATACAGCCCTGAGCTGACCACATTCCAGAGGGGCGCAGAGAGTCTAAGGGATGTGAGAAACAATCCCTCCTTCCACAAAGTAGTCCTCATAGGCAAGTCAGGACCTTGCTGTTTTTTCATATATTAAACCCAGATTGTACTCCTATCATTTGGGTTTACCGATCCGAATTCCATTCTGCAGAGACACACAAAACGCCCAAACCTCGGTTGTCTTAAAAATCTTCTGCAGATAAAAGCTAACAATGGGAACTGACGCTTGGTGTTTGTTATGCCAAGTTCCTCCCAAGGAGTTCTCACAGGTGCGTTCGTGGAGCCCTACGACAGCCCTGCGAGATCACTGGCAGAATGGCCTGTGGGCAGACAAGTGCCACACCCGGGCCCACAGAACTGAGCTGCAGAAGGACGAGGAGCTGGGCCAGCGTCAGATGTGCCCTCCTCACTGCACTGATTTACGCCCTTGGTCCATGGGTGTCTCCTTTATTTTCTGGCCTCTCCGCAGCCTGGTTACCTTTTCACCTTCATTACACACTTCATAAGCTATCAGTGCTTCAGGTATGGACTGATCAAGGAGGGGGAAGGGAGGGGAAGAAGAGGAGCAGGAGGAGAGGGAGGGCTGTCGTCTCCTTTCCTCAGTGGAATCTCAGGCCCTATTCCTTTATCGTGGTAGCCATGGCCATGGAAACCCCTGGAACCCTCATGCACAATCTTCCTTATTCCACAGGTTATAGTAACTTCTTTCGAGTACACAATAACAACTTTTTGTCTTGTTCCCATTATATTAATCTTTTTGTGTTTATGTGGTTTGGTTTTTTGTTTGTTTTTGTTTGTTTGAGACAGGGTCTCAGCGTAGTTCGGGCTGGCCTCAAACTCACAGTGATCCTCCTGTCTCAGCCTTCCAAGTGCTGGGATTACAGGCAGGTGCCACCATGCCTGGCTTTATTCATGTGTTTAATTTTGGCCTGTATGAAATCTTAAAATCTTAATTTTGTCACCAGGGCATTAGCTGTCCCTTGCCACAGCTATCCAGTACCTCCTTCACACCGCCCAGTGGCTTCCTGCCTAGCCAGCTCTCAGCCAGAGGAGGTACTGGGAGGCCAGAGGAGCAAGAATGAGATGGGTCCAGCGCCTTGAAGCCTGGCTTGCCTTCCCCTTTGTGTACAGCCAAACATTTACATTCATTCATAACATGCTGGGAGTGGAACACACCAGACAAGAGAGATCCTTTTCAAAGCATGGTTGTGAGCTCGTGGCTGGATGGACACTGTACAGAGTGGCCCTGAACATCAGGCAGCCCAGAGAGGGACCCCTCTGCCCATGTCCTGCCCGGGACCTGTGGGGCTGGCCTTGCCCTTCTTTGGCCACGCGTTCCTTGCTCACGAGGGAGGCGTGGAATTCCTCTCTCTGAGCTAGTGTCCTTCACACATTTGGGGCCTGCTGGACAGGAAGTCATCAATAATTGCTAGTTGCTGTTTTGTTCTAAAGCCAGAGTTAGTCAAACCTGGCCTGGCCTGCTGCCTGCTTTTGGAATGGAGTGTCGGGATGCAGCCACACCAATGTGTTCACGTTTTTTTGTACATTGTCTATAAGCTGTTTTATGCCACTGTGGCAGAAGGAGTTGTCAGAGAGACCCTAAGACCCATGTAGTCCAGAAAAATCCCTGTCTGGATAAAGGGCGGGGATTCCCCAGCTCCCTTGTCATCCTTGGACCTGGAACCTTGGCGGATCACTGCTGATCTCCGTCCTCTGCTTCTTCATCTGGAATAAAGATCCACTTTCTACTGAAGAATAAGTACGCTGAAAGCTGTACCTTAGAGATCCCGCTGTCATTTTCTTTGCTTGGTAATTCCGCATTTTGCTCACCAGACGTTTGTGCTAAATTCCTGCGATACAGACACGGGTAGCACGTTGCTCTTCATCTTCCACTCACAGATGGAGAAGTGGAGGCGTGGGAGTGCTGAGATCTTCCCCACCTGTACAGTTGCACACGGCACTCTGGGGCCATGGCTGGGTCTGGAGGAGAAAGGCAGTGTCAGCTAAACTCTTGAGTGAGCGAGCTGGTGCAGAGGGTTCCAGAAAGCTTCCCACATGGAGGCCGCTGTGAGGACCCCAGACAGGCAGCGAGGAGATGACCCCGTGAGACTTTTGAGCAGCATTCCCTGTGCCTGGCACTGCCGGAGCTGTGGGGACCCGGGCACTGGGTGGCAAATAGGCAGGGGTCAGGGCTCTGCGGGAACGGGGACGGACCTCAACCTAAGTCACTGTGTGTGCCATTTTCAGTCAGCGCCCTGCGTTGGCCTGTGTCCATACCGTCCCCCATACGCATATGGAGACTGGATGTATGCGCATTGGGCAGGAGCCTGTCCCTCTCTGTCGCACTTGGAGAACCCCATGCTACAGTCCTCCCCAGGCGAGCAAACATCTGTTGGACTGGTGTTAGCCTCTCAGGCTGAGGGAAGGTTACAGGACCAGCCGTGGGCAGGTTACTCCCCTGGGGGCACTTCCTGCTCTGGGACCATGGTCTTGGTTTGCCCAAGAATCAGTGGCTGGATGCCTAAAAGGGGGTGGTTCCAAGATGGTTTGTATTTGGAGGTCAGCGATTCCCCCTCCCCGCAGTTACACCTGCTTCACTGTACTCCTGACTCCACAGGTAAATAAATACTCGGCACCATTGCCCTGAGGGGCCTGCTGACCACGGGAAGACCATTTGGTCCTTAGTGCCTTTTAAAATCCTTGCAAGAACCCACCTACCTGGCAGAATGGAAGTGAAGTGAACATTGGAAAGGGAATAAAAATGATGATTCTTGGTCTGGGGATTTAGCTCAGTGGTTCTGCCGCCTGCCTCACCAGCGCAAGGTCCTGAGTTTGATCCCTGGTACCAAAACAAACAAACGAACAAACAAAACCCACCACCAACAACAAAATAATGATTCTTGTAAACAACACTGCCAAACCAAAGACAGGCTTAGGCTGCTTCTCACGCCTGTCAGGTGCCTGTGGGGTCCGCGGGGCCAGGAGCTGCACCTGCTCTGGACCCTGCCATTTTATCAGGACTGTCTGGGGTTACATGTGTAGCCAAGTGGGCTGAGACAGACTCCCGTGTCGTGTTGCCCGGAGAGGCAGCTCCCGCTGAGTCCTGCACTCTGAGAAGAGTGAGGGCCTCATTTCCCTCCCTCTACAGGGGAGGAGAACGAGGTCTAGCTGTGGAAGTGCTCGCCCCGGGCGAGAGAGCTAGATAGCCACAGAGTTGCAGCTGCAGTCCAGGTCCCCGACTCCCAGGGCCAATTCTCTTTCCACCACGCCTCTCAGGAGGCCTAGAGTTATATTGCCTCTTCCATCATTTCTTGGGCATTTTAGAAGTATAAATGACCTTCCCTCTGCATCTCTCCTCTCTGTGTGACCTAGGAAAATGTTATTAAGGGAGAGGCGTAGACTGCCTTTGGTCACCAAGTCGCACTGTCACCCAACAGCCCTCAACTGTGAAGCCTCTCTGAAGGTCTGGATACCCAAGTCTTCTCGCCTCCCACTGGTCTCCTTCCCCCGATCATATTAGAAAACTCACAGTTTGTTTTCACCTCCCCTAGAGTAATGAAATACTTCTTTTGCTTCCTGTAATCTAAGTCCCTTTTCTGTTGTTGTTTTTGTTTCAAGAAAACTCGAACATATCAGAAGGGTTTCCTGGCTCCTTAGACACCAGCCTGGTAAGAGCGTCAAGGATTTGCCCACAGCCTTTTCTCATTAATAGCCTGTGTGTGCTTTTCCTTCCAAATGTCATCTGGCCGCCCCAACAAAGATCTAATTGTTGGCAACTTGGCCCCTTTGCAGACTTGTGCTTTCCCGTGTGTTCTTTTGAAAGCCCCACAACTCCTGCCATTCAAATGAAACAGTGCAAACATATTGAAAGTGACTTGGTGGATTGTTGGTTTGATGACCACTTTTCACAACTTCCCTCCTTCTTCTTTTTAAACTGAAGATTGGAATTTTAATTGCTCAACCAGTTTTTAATTCATGGTGCCCAGAAAGGGCATGGTTTATTAATTAGTTCAGATTATCAGGCGCTCTGAACTGGGCCCGGCTGCTTCTTGATTGGTTTCAACAGCTCTTTGCCTGAAATTACTCTCTAAAAAGCACAGAGAGGTGTAATTATGCAGACATAGCTGTTCAGTGCTGCCAGGTTAAACCCTCTGTTATGCATACACATTATGGTGTCTTAAAAGGCATTTATTGAAATGCCATAGTTTAATAGTTCAGTCTTACAAAACCAAGCTCTCTTATGTTACAGGCAACTGCCTCTTAATTGAATGTTTTCTCCCAGCACAGAAAAACATTGGTTTAAACACACACACACACACACACCCCAGAATTGTGAAAGACAGTATTACTTCATGGTTAAAAAGGAAGGACCTTGAAGGCCATCTGCCTGGGTTTGCCTCATGCTGTGGCCATGTCCTAGGACCAGATTCATTACACATGTGATTTAGCCTCTCTCTGCTGCAGGGTTTTAGGTAGAATGGGGACAGTTACTGAATTGTGATAGCTAATCTTGGTTGTCAACTTGACTGGATTAAGAGACACTTGGGCAATCTGTAAAGCTTATCTTTGGGTGTGTCTGGGTGAGTCATAGGTGTGTGATCTTGGGGATTGTACCCGGTCCCTGTCCTCTTCCTCTCTGCTCTTGTCTTGCCCTTTTTTCCCTATACCATTAGTTGAGTGGCTCTGTCCACCATGCCCTCCTACCATGATGCTTCTGCCTTGGAGCTAGACAACCATGGACTGAACCTCTGAAAACATGAGTCCAAATCAACCTCTCTTCCTTTCAGTTGTGCATGTTGAGTATTTTGTCCCAGCAATGAGAAGCTGACTAATACAGCTCTAGCCAGTTTCCTAGGTTGTTGTGAGGTGTAAATGTGTCAGCACACAAGAAACACTTAGCAAAGTGCACAGAACATAGTTCTTGTATTTTTAACGGATTGCTTTCACACATTCACTTGTATTTATTTGTTGTAAAGTCTAGTTTGTTAAACTCTAAAAGAATGGGGAATGGCGTCGTTGTGGCAAAAACCAGGAGTTATTCCCTACTATCTGGATCTGCACTAAGTACCCTAACCTAGAACTCTTTTTCCAAAGTGACAGCCTCCCCTCACCAGTTTTCAGCTACGTGGTGACAAGGCTATTCAGAGTAAAGAATTTTTTAAAAATTGAAATAGTCACTGTATTTTTTTAAATCACCCTTCGTATTCTATACCTGCTTGCTCCACCTTTCATATCTCTCAGTCTCTATTTTGCATTTCCCATCTTTTTGCAATGTAATTTCATTTTATCTACAATGCATTAATTTTTCTGATATACTGTTGAAGTTTTCATTCTGTTCTTATTGTTGTTGTTACTACTAGACATTCTGTTTGGTTCTTTTCCCAGTCTGTTAGGTCATTGAAAACAGCAATCTCTGCCTGAGTCCTTCCAGGGCTCATTGGCTTTAGTAGATGAACTTCTGACTAGCAGGTAGGAGACCACATTTGTTGGAGGGTTCTTGTGCCAGCTCTTGCTCTTGGTAGCTTATTTCCTTTCATTCAACTTATTTTTAAACTTTTATGCCTAGGCGATTCATAGGGATTCTTTCCTAGAAATAATTTTCCTTTCTCCACAGAGGATTTGGGTTTGATTCTGTTATGCTCCTGGAGACTTGTGGGGTTTGGGACCTCCTTACACCAGGTGCAGTGCTGAATACAGCTGGTCCCATCATCTACTTACCTCGTGTCTCCTTTTCTAGGCTTAAATTCTTTGCATCCGGAGTCACTTTAAATGAAAATTAATTGATAAATTTTCCTGAAGGAATTAACTTTTAAGTTAGCACCCCAACTTGTTAACTTATTTTCTGTCTTTTTTTCCAATTGCTCAATCGAAAGGGTTCTCCTACATTGACTTTCCTCAGTTCCATGCACTTTCCTTGAGGTATTGTTTGCAAATCTTGCAAATCTCCTTTGCAAATTACTCCCCACACAGGAATTTGTGCTTCCAGGCCAAGACCATGCACACCTCCCTGGGCTCCCATCCCCAGACCACAAAGTCATGAGATTCTTTAAACCTTAAATTAATGCTCAAGAATGTGGCTTAGGTTTTGTCTGGCAGTAACCCTCCGTGGCCCTGGAAGTAGTACTGTTTTTAGTATCTTTGCGTTTAAATACCATCAACCGTACTTTCCAGAAGCTCTTTGATTTTCATCTTTGATTTTGCCACTCTTGTTCACAGACCACAGTGAGAATATCTGCTTCCAATAAAACAAAGTCCAAATGTGTTAGCTTGTTGTTTTGCATCCTGCATCTAAGTGCCAGAGCCAGAATGTGCTCTCTAGTTCATCTGACTCTGGCTCCACCCCTCACTAGCGGTGTGATTCCATGGAGGATAAACTGAGCATCCGTGTTCTGGTGGGTCCAGTGGTACCAGCCAGCAAGGGAAACTCCACGTAAAGCCCCCAGCTCTGACAGGAGAGAAGAGTCAGCCCAACAAAGCACTTCTTCCTGCAGGGTCTCAAAAGGGGAGAGAGAGGCCTTCCTATTTTGTATTGCTGTGAACACACTGGCATGAGATACATAAAAGATACTTCAGCTGTTTCTTCTCTAGACCTTAGCTTCCTTCTTAAACACAAAACAGGACCTTAAAGAGTAGTTTTGAAACTTAAATGTGGGAAGGCACTTGAAGAAACTGGTTCGATACTCAGCACTTAAGGGAGTATATGATAAATGTTTCTTCTTTATCCTCTTTCAAATGGAGGACTAATTTTCCTTTCCCATGAAATTGCAATAAAAATTGTAAACCAGAGCATCTTACACAGAAGAAGGACCATCGCTTTTCATCTTCCATCTAAGTAGGTGGCGGAGTCAGATTTCATGAAACGATATAATCTCTGGTCAAATCAAACTCTCGTTCCACCATTCCGTATAAAAGACAGATATTTATCTCTGCTGTTTAAAAGTCCTTGCTACCCTTTCAGATCAATTTCAAATGCCGTCCATTCCGTGAAGCCCCGATTCCTGTTCCCAACAGACTCACCCTGAGCTCCAGCCCAGAGGGAAGAGCAGTGCCATCAAGAGGAAATCTTTAACCCGTCCCCACTGATGCTCCGACGGCCTGTGCATCGATGAGTGTGACTGCACGATCAAAAGCAGTGTTCTAGCTTCTACAAAAACGGTTTTAGAGATTTAAAATCTCAGGGTCTTCGAAAGAGTTCTAATTATTCTGCCTCTCCATGGCGTAAGTCTGTCCTGCTCGGGTTTCCGCGTTTGTTCTCAGGTATGTCTGTGTTCCTCTCTAAACACAGACATAATGTATTCCTTAAAAAAGTACACTTCATCAGTAATCTTTCTGCTTCTGTAAATGTAGCCTGTTCTAACAAGTTCACGGCAACCATGGGCTGTGCAGTTCTGTGCTCTTACATTAAGTGAAAACCCTGGAATCTTCTTGTAAAATATGTGTTGGTTCCAAATGACTTCTCTGCCCTGTATTAATCCAGTGGGTTTTGCTCTCTGCAACTGAGTTCCCAGTGTCTGTCCACACCACTTGCACCTGGGTGTATTTTATCTGCTCATGAAACTGTGGGGTCCATTTGGTCCACCCTGATGTGCCTGGAGCCTTCGGGTTGTAAGGGGTTCTTGCAAGGTGCTTCATGTCTGCTATAAAACCTAGCTATTCGATTTTGTGCTGTAGCTTGTGTGCTTGTCATGTGTTCGACCCTAGGTAGGAGCTTCTGCCTGGGGCCCATTGCTTCCAGGATTCGTGATCTGTGTTGGGCTTAGAGAGGCTCCTCAGAGCAGAGAGACAGCTCTGAGTTGTTTTCAACTGATACCTGCAGCTAGGTTGTAGAACAGGGGTCCAGATGGGACACTCCCTATGCCTGTGATTCGTGAGTGTAGAAGCTGCTCGTGGTCTTTTCTGCCGTCTCCCACACCCTGGCTCTATCAGGGGTGAAGGTCTGGAAGGAATCGCCCTCTGGGTGTAGTGATGTGTGCTGGGTGGGACTTGGCCATAGTTCCTGCAGCAGAGACCCCAGCATGGGGCTGATGTGAAGGTTATAATGTTCCCGCTGCAGGCTCCAAGGAGCTCGTTGCCTATGTCCTTGAGACCTAAGGACCAAGCGCTCAAACTCAAAAATGCAAAAAATTAACAAATCAAAAAGATAACTTCTACCACTGAGACAAACACATCAAACACCAGAACCTCAGCCAGGCATCATGGGGCACGCCTGTGAGCCTGGCACTCAGTACCCTGAGGCAGGAGGACAGCCCTGAGTTCGAGGCCATCCTATGCTATCTCATGAGTTCAAGGCCAGCCTGAACTACCTAGCAAGAATCTGTCTCAAAAACAAAAACAAAAACAAAAAAAAAGGAAAGGAAAGAAAGAGGGATCAGACTTCAGTTTGCTTCTTTATTCACATTCAGTTCTTGTGTTATTGTTGCTCTTTTAAATTTTATCAAAGTAATATGTGCATATAGTTAAACATGAGAGTCCTATAAAAGGTAGTAGACAAATTGTAAAGGATCTATTTCTCCATTAACTTGACTTTTATTTCCACTCCCAAAGCTAACTTCCTAGTGTTTTCTTGTGTACATATCCAGAAATAATTGTAGCTATAAATGTATATAAATTTATTATTTTATCCAAAGATATTACAGTAGATACTGTCAAGTTTGTGTTTCCACTAAAAAAGATCGTACAGTTGTTTTAGTGAGCTGTATTAAAATTTATTAACTTGCCATTTTTTAGTTTTTATCTCTGACAGATATTTTTGCCATAGAGTATGTATTTTCATTGTGTGTGTGTGTGTGACTATTAAACTGAAAACCACGCCTTGCTTCTGAATAGGAAAATGGTATTGTGAGCAGGGAATGTACCTGCCACATCCCTTATATTCATATTAAGTAATACATCTATTAGCCTAAGTTATGCTTTCTCACTCTCTGCCCATTTGCTGTGAGCCTTCTTCCCAGAGTGCTGCTTAGAATCCTAAGACAGACACTGTCATAGCTGAAAAAAGCTAAAAGTAATTCCCAAGCGTAGGACCTCGTAGTAGCAAGTTCTAAGGTACACCAGGTGTATAATTTAAATAGTAAGGTAATTATGCTGCAAGGAGCAAAAGTCCCGAATCTCAAAGAGCTTCCCTGTTCAGAACCTGTCCCGCTGAACCTGTCAGGAACGTGGCCTGTGCGGAGACTGAGTGTGGCTGTCTTTCGCTTGCAGTGAAGTACATGCGGGAAGCCACGCCCTACGTGAAGAAGGGCTCCCCGGTGTCGGAGATCGGCTGGGAGACGCCGCCCCCGGAGTCCCCTAGGTTGGGGGGCGGCTCCTCGGACCCGCAGGCCTCGCAGGCCTTCTGCTTCCACCGAGACCAGAAGAGCATCCCGCTGAGGATGTGCTACGTCACGCGGAGCATGGCCCTGGCGGACCCCGAGAACAGGTGAGACCCGGCGCCCCCTCCCTGTCTCCTGCCCGCAGGGTTCAGAGGGGCCTGGGCCACGCTGGGCTGCGGACCTGGGAAGGCTCCCTGCTCCCAGAGAGTAACTGGAAGGGCGTTAGAGACGGTGCGCGCGCGTGTGCTCGTGTGCTCGCGAGTTCCAGGTCCCCCCCCCATTCCTTCCATCCACGTGAAGGATGCTGCCCTGGGCCTAGGTCCTGGGTGGGTTTCTCACACGGCCGTGCCTCAGTTTGTCACCTACAGGGCGGGGCAGTAACTAAGCTGGCGGTGTGGCGTGAGGCCTGGCGTGGGGAGGCCCGGGGCCCCCGCAACTCGGGGCGAGAGCAGTGGGCGAACCTGCCTTCGGGGCCCTGTGGGGCGTTGTTAAATGGGAGAAACCTACAGCTGCTTTCTGACCTAAACCTCTGCTCAGAAAGGAAAAGGGAGCGGCTCTGGCCCCAGCCCCAAGGCTGGACGGACGTCACTCGCGGCAGTGAGGAGGAAACCCAGCCAGGAGCAAGGAAGTGTGTGGGCCCCTTTCCCCCCAAATACCTGACTTTAACTCGTCTGAAGAGAACATTGTCTATGTGGGAAGAAAATAAGAGACTTAAAGACAGGAGCTGAGCCCGCAAATGGGGACCCTTGGTGACCCCTGCATCCACGGTAAAGAGCTAAAAAGTAAGAGCTCCGCCTCTGGGCCTCCCTGAACGCACCTACCCCGAGAGAAGCGTCTGGCTGGGTTCAGAGGGGCTTGGGGTCGGGAGATCCAAAGGAGTAAGGGCGGAGAGTCATCCTTGGCTCGCAGCTCAGGGTCCTATCTGTCCCTGCCCTGGTGAGCGCCCTCTAAAAAAGCTGGGTGGACCCGGGGTTCCAGCCGGGGGGTGGGGGGGTAGGGCTCATGCCCCGCCCACGTCAGTTACATCTGCACAGGGATTGGCCGGCGGCCCTGTCAGTCAGGCACCTGCTCAAGGGTAGGGAGAACAGGCCAGACCCGGAGAGCCCTTGAACCCGCTCCGTCTCCTGTCTGTGCAGTTCCCCCTGGATTTCTGCCTCTCTCTCCTGGGCCTGCAGTTGCTGTCTTTGTTGTAGGTGTTATGAGTGATTTCTTTCAATGGACTTCGCTTGTGTTTCAGAGAAATTTGAATTAGTTGCGTTTTGAATAATTGGCGAATTCCCCATGATAAAGACACATGTCTACTGTTGTAGAAAAGTTGGAAGAACTAGTGATATTGTGGGGCCACGGGGCTGCAGGCTGGGTTCCCACCTGTGGGCCCAGTAGAGGTTTTTCCTTTGCCCGGGGTGAGCGTGCCTGTTACCCGCGTCTCGGGGACGCACACCTGCCTGCTCCAGTCTGTGACCTCGTGTCCCTGCTTGATCCCCTTAACAGTGCTCAGCTTCTGCCGTTGCTCCCCTAAAACACTGCGGTGCAGTGGTCCTAAGTGGCCAGTGTCGTACAGCCGCCGCATGGTGTCACTGGGCCGAGCCCCTGCCTCACGAACGGCGACCACGTCCGGAACCACCTGTTTCCAGAAAGTGCAGACGGACTGGAGAATTGCTGGGGGTGGGCATAGAGCATTTACCACAGTGGGAAGAAAAGTGGAATAGATTTCTAGGGTTTCTTCCCACAGTGGCGTTCCACGTCAATTTTATATATTTTATATTTTTATTTTTACTGGTCCATAATACAGTGCACAACGATTGTATTTGTGAAGGTACATCATACATCTTAATTCTATTTACTTCCCTATTCCCCGTGCCTCCCACCATCTCTTGGTCGCCAATTATGTTTTAAAGAATGTTTTAGTAAACGTCAGGCCTTAATCCAAATATTGGCAGCTTCACCCCATGTGTGCAGCCACTGGAGGAGAGGGGGGTTTTAACTTCTATGCGCGTGTGATGCTCTTCAAACTCACGGTAGAGGTGGACCTGCGGGGCCTCTCCTTCAAGGGATAGAGAGTACCTGGGGGTGAGAACCAGCAGGCCAGTGTGGGAAGGGAGGACCCAGCTCAGGCGTCAGGGCCACACGGTCCAGAACCGGTGCCAGCAAGGAGATTGAGAGCCTAGGGGAGACCCGCCCCTGGCTGAGGGAAAGGAGCCAAGTAAACAGATATTGATGAAATCGTAGCACAGCGTACCCATCAGACATGTGAAGCCTGCCAAACACAACTTGACACTGAATAGAAGAGACACACATAACACAAATTTGGGGGGGTTTTTTGTTTGTTTGTTTTGGTACCAGGAATCAAATTCAGGACCTTGCACTCACAAAGTAAGCACAGTGCCACTGTATTATGACCCTGGCCCACAAAGTTACTTTTTAAAGGTGAAAGACACAGGGCCTGGCAAAAGTGTACAAGGCAAATTCAGAGTAGCAACAGCAACAGAAAGCATCGATTTCCATCTTGTTGTGTGATTAGGGAAAGTGCAAGGTGAAAGCAGAAAATAAGGCAAGGAAAAACTGATTTATGCTGACGGCCAGAATTCTCAAGGAACGTTCAGTTCACAAGGAACATTCGATAGATAGAAACGTAAACCAAATGAGACAGCAGCAGCCTTTATAGTAGAAACTGCAGAAAATACAAGAAGAAATAGACACATACGCAGATTAGATAATGTAATATACACACTATTCTCCATCCAAGACAGGAAAAGTGGAGAATAAACAATAAAGGATAAGCAAGATATAGAAAATCCAAACTGCATAATTAATAAGGCAAATCTAGATACATTGCAGACTTTGTAATAGAACATACTCTGCAGATCCACTTAAGAGTATACACAAAATTAGACACAGATTAAGTCACAAAGAAAATACTGAGGGTTGGGCTGGGGATTTAGCGTAGTGGTGCCGCCGCCTGCCTTGCAAACACAAGGTCCTGAGTTCGGTCCCCGGTACCAAAAAAGAAAAGAAAATACAGTGGGTTGCATAAGGTAGAAGTAATGCAAGCAACATCCTCTTAGGCTAATGGAATAAAACTAGAAAACCAATAACAAAATCGAACCACGGAACACCTTTCTGCTTGGGTGTTTAAAGACACTGTGTCATGTAACTCTTGGGTCAAAAAAGAAATAGAAAATAAAGATAGTATTTTAAAAATACTGAACACAATTCCATGTATTAAACATAAAAGAGAAAGGAGGAGAGGATGGAGTGCGGCCAGGCATGGGTCCCACCAAGCCCAAATCGCCCTCCCGGTTACCAGCACTCGGGTCTGCCCCAGAGACAGCCACACCGCTCTGGAAGTGAGAACTGATGCAGACAGTAGATTTGGGGTCCAGCCCCGTCCTGGCTGACCCCAAGCCCAGTGTCCTCCTCTGACTCCCGCACGTGGCAGAGCAGCACACCTGAGCTGCACGCCAGGGGCTCAGGGGCTCTCCTGGGTGCCGAAACCTGGGAGCTGACGGCAAATGTCTCAGCATCTCCAGACTGCTCCCCTCTGCTGGTGACACACAGCTGCTCATGGTTTGCATGGAAACCTCTGATGTTCAGTTTCTCAACTAGAAACAGCCAAAGCACAGCAGGCAGGATTGCTGCTCTTTCAGTGAAAAAGGTCACTCAGCAGGCTCTGAATCCACAGTAATATCTCTCCGCTCTTAGCTAGCAGTGATTGCTACATATTTTTTATTCTCCTCTTCCACGTCTCTTGCTTATCATATTCTGCTCTTTGCCTCTGTAGCCACCACCTAGCTCTGGCCACCTCCTTAGACCTTTAGATATTTAAATCCATTTCCCTGGGGTGGGTGGAGCTTTGTTTCTCAGCCCATCACTTGCTTTGCACCTCACCCACCAAGGGAAGAGAAACTCCCAGAACTCACTCATCTGGTCAGAATGGCTTCTTGTCACCTGCAGTATTTAAACATCTCCATATTTCATTAAAAAAAACACACACACACTACATTTTATCTTTCCTAGCTGCTGCTTTTAGAGCTTTCAATGACACAAACAGCCCACTGCGGCGCGTGTGCCATGGGTTCACAACCACTGGCCTAGAACATAATTTGGCTGGAACTAGAATCCTCCTAAGGAGAAGGGAGTGGAATTACTGGCAAGTGGCTATAGACACTGTGCAGAAGTCAGTAGAATACTACTCAATAAAGTAGAAGAAAGTTTTCTTTTTCCAACTGCATTTTAGAAGAATAAGTTAAACACCATCACATTTGAAGCTAAAAACGAACAACAACAACAACAACAACAAAAAACCCCATGAGCATTCTCTTTCAGATGAGGAAATTCTTCCACTTAAAATTATAGAGTGTGTCTGTCACCAAGGATATCATTTCATCAGGCTCAGTCTGTCTGTCTGTCTGTCTGTCAGTGTGTCTGTGTGTCATTGCTTCTTATTGAAACAAACCCAAGAGAAGTGTTTTTTATTGAAGAGAAAGGGTGTGGCGATCTTTGTGTTTGCTTGAACAGTGCTCACATTCTGCCTTTGAGAGTCATGGGAAGTGGCGTATGTAGTCACCTTCTACAGTTGTGCTCAAGGCGACTGGCAAGAGGTCAGTTCAGGAGGTTGTGTAGCACAGGTCAGAAATAGGAATCAAGAAGCCCTGAGCCTCTGCCCGAGGTCCTGAGCTTGCAGCTCTGCAGAGCCAGGGCTCATCCCTGGCTGGAGTCCTTCCTGTACGCCTTTGCTTGTGACCTGCTGTCGGTCCTTCCAGCATGCGTGGAGTGCTTGCCTCTTTTTCTCTGGTGGGTTCAGACCTACGTGGCCGTCTGTCTGATGAGGGAGAGGATATTGGCGTGAATGGCCAAGGAGCGATGCTTCTCAATAAGAACCCTTGCATAATTTACACCTTTATACACAACAGTGCACAAAAGGCTCATTTTAATGAGCTTGAAAAACCTTTTCATAGCCTTGTTATTTTTAAGAAAATCTATTTCCTTCATAAAAAAAAAACTTCAGCATTCAGACTAATTATCATACATTTCTAATCAGTCGCGTAGGAATTAGGAAGGTTCCTGCAGTCGTGAGCTCATTAAAAGCTGTCTCTCGCTTGCCTCG